AACATCATCAGAGGAAGGTATCAACGTCACAACAACATTCAATCTATCGAGCCGGTGAGTTTTCTTGACTTGTTATCTTCAATTTAGTTGTGACGATGATACCTTGCTCTGATTATGTTCTTCATAGGACGGACGAAAGCTCAGCACATTTTCATGGGAATCGAAAGAGATTACCTCGGAAACAGCGTCAGCATGAATGTTCCAGTAAAGCCAATCGACAGCTGGTCAAGAGGAATCCGCCGTCAACTGACCTTCGAATCTTTTCACCCAACACTTTCACTCGAAATGGATGTAAGATCACCAACTAAACTAGTGTACGACCTTATAAACTTTATTTCTCCACCTTGTTCTCGAAGGTCAGCGCTGCGCAGCTCGAGCCTTCCCCCCCGGCGGCACAGTCCTGCCACCGCCCGGCAGATCTCCCTCGCGCCCAGGCCAGCCACATCGGCCCGGCTCCGGTACAGGACAAGCCCCGCCGTCGGCAAGACCATCGCCAGCTCTGCAACCTCCGCCGCCGACCTCGTACACCGACGAACCTTCGAACACCGACTCGCCCTCGAGCTCCAGCTCGGCGACACCAACTTGCTCCCACCCGGGCCTGTCCGTTGGGCTCAGCTTCTCTTTCGCGTTTTGGACCGCCGTCCGACTGGTTGCCCCAGCTCGCGCCTACACCCCAACTGCCACGACCCATCTCATCTACTGAACACAAATCAACACTCGCACACACATTCACACATTTAATCTCACACACACGCACACATTTACATACACGTTCACACACTTTCACTCAGAAACATTCATATATTTAAATTCACATACACACATTTACATTCACATTCACACATTCCTACTTACACACATTGAGATATTCACACTCACACGTATACGCACACATTCACACATTTAAGCTCTCACACACATTTACATACACATTCATACATTTGCACTCAGACACACATTTACACATTTACACACAAATTCACCTATTCACACTCACACGCACATACACACACACCCCTTCACACATTCGGGTATTCACACTCACACGTATACGAACATTCAAAATTACACACACATACACACATACACACATTACTATTCATGCACACATGCGTTTGCCCACCCACACGCACATTCAGAACATTCACACTCACGCACCAGGTTTAACCCAGCCATACCGACTTGCTTATATTGCTTTCTTTGGTTTTTGTCTTGTTCCACTTAACTATAAGGCAATCACATGTCACTACCTTGTCTATCCTGGCAACATGCCAATTATCCGCAAAGAGACCATACCTTTCGGCCGAAGACGGGTAAGACTATAGGCCGACATGACACGGTTTAGAGCAGACTTTGTCAGCTTTCCCCTCTTCACATGCCCCTTACGCTCAGATTCTGGTTGCGTCAAGGCCTGGGACTTTTGTGATCCCCCAATTCCGCCTCTCCCTCTCCTCTTCTTCTACCGAAACAACAGTGAAACTGTTGCTTGTTTGTTGTCCACTCTCCCTTTCCACACAGCTCCGCCTCGTGGGGTCTCTGTCCGGAGCCTCCGCCTCATCGGTTGTGATTGAATTACTTTGTGCACCCCTCGCCATGGCAATTGTGTCGTCTAGCCGAGCTACTTAAAGGTACCGTTTTCGCGATTGCTACGGCCTCTCCGAAGCCCCATGCTATGCCTGGACTTCTGTTCATACACCTTTACACTCCGGCTAACTGCCACGAAGAGGGACCGACTGTGTTGACATGATATGCAATTTATTGCCCCCCTACATCGGTTGTGAACATATATTTTCCTTTATATATCATCTTGCCTTGTGATTATTTTGTGTGCGTTACCTACTTACTTAATACATTTTGCAGTAGTATATTGCATTATTTATAGATACACAGTGACCACTATTATCTCACTGTGTCAACAGATGTTGTAACAAGCATTTTTGAGCATACACGCATTTGTCTTATTGTTTACCCACTACTTTTGAGCTGGTCAGCTCTCTGTTTTTTGGATCTTTCATAAACGGGCTGAAGTCTAATCTTTGTACATTAGGAAATATTGAAGACTACAACTGGTCTTCTTAACCTTGCAGAAATCTCTGGTTGTGATGTAATGGACTCGAGTTGAACGGCCCCGACGAATGAACCCTCAATCAGTTAAGTGTGGTACAAAAAGGCCAACAAAATGAATTTTATTTCACCTCTGTTCCATTGGTTGTGATCTTGCAGGACTTGAATTTTGCTTCGCCTTATAAAGTTTTTCTGGGACTCATCTCCCATCTCATTTTTTCCTATCGTGCTCCTCCTTTAAGCACACCATGTTTTTGTCTTTTTTTTAATAAAATTTACTTTATTTTATCAACACGGAACACAAAAAGATGACTTAGTAATTTTTCTCTTGCCTCTTTTCGATGTTCGGCCCAGCATTAGTTCTCATGGAACCTAAAGTCGTTCACCAATGCCAATGACTTAAAGTGAGCCAGATGAGAAGGAATATTCCCGTTGAATAAGCCTTAAATGACCGATTTTCGCGAATATTCTAGCAAAATTACTATTGTGGCAAGTTTAGCTTCCAATGATGATACATTATATAAACTTGCACCAAAAGTGACCTTTGCCGATTCGCGGATCATATGCATTCTCGTCTAAATAGTGTGACTCCTGCAAAGTGAAAATGTAGAAAATGAGTTAAAAGTGCAGGGTTGGCTTTAAGATGAACATGAACACAAGTGTTGGGTGAACAGACACTACCATTATGCCCGCCTGCATTTGACCTCTGTTCGTGAGAGAAAACACCCTCATCTTAGACTAGCCATCCCCGAATCTCGATTTGAAATTAAACCAGACCGTTGAATATTGAAGCCGATTCATATGTCCAGGCGACTACATGAAATGTCACATAGTCACAGATAGAATGTGAGTCAGGACAGCAAGCAAATAATTGTATCATGAACTATTTTTAAATATAATGACAAATTCAGTTCATAATATGAATGGTAATTCTCTTTTCAGGATTGTTCTAAATTAGGAGGCGGAACGAATCTTAGGGGGAAAATATCAAGATTGGAAATCTAATCATTTATACGGGCAGAAAGAGAAGAATCAAGTAGTTCGAGCAATTGAGGGAAAAAGAAGAAAGCGGTCGTATTCTCATCTCATTTTACCTCTGACAATCATTTCTTATCTCATTTCATCTCCTCTCTTATCTGCTCTTCCATCTGCAACTCAGATTACCCTTGCTGCGCTTCCGTCTCTCATGTTCCAGACATCACCCAGCTGACTTTTTTCCTGAAATTGAAAGTCAAGTCACAATATTTCACTCATTGTATGTGAATTCCAGCTGTTGTTTGTAAGATTAATGACAGATCTTTGATCCAGGCGTCTCCTTGTTGCAGGCCTTGCTGTATCCTTATTTTAGCCAAGTCTGCAAAGTTATTGCTAGACCGTTGCTATGACGACCAAGATGATGTGGCCTTCTGTTTGGTCGCAGTCTCCTCTAACTTGCTAGTGTTGGTTAGACCCCGTTTTCGCGAAGTAGTCGGATCTTTAGAGAGACCTTGTGGAACGTACTGAGTCATTTGTCCTCTGGCAAAGCATTCGTGATTTCCATTTGGAACGTTTGGGAATGTACCAAGTGAATGGTCCGATGCTGGACATCGCGATTACAATGGCAGAGGACACAGGGCTAGGTACGTTCCACAATGTTTCTCCGACACTCCGACCAAATTTCGAAAACGAAGTCGAACCAACACTGTAAAGTTATTGATAACTTAGCCTTCTTCCAATCTTCTGATTATTAAGTTTCTTTCTGCAAACATGTAAATATTTTCCACAATCTTACGTGTCTATGTGTTTTCACCAGATAAGGCCCTTCTTTCACTTGCACTTTAATAGATCCCGTGTACAGTCTGTGCGATATGTTCCGTTATTTCTCATCTTTTGGTATCCATTTTCCTGCAGAACCGTTGATGTTCCTTGATTCGTATGCTAATTTTCCTACTTATTTTTCCAATACATTTATGTTGCAGATTCCACATGTTATGCAGTAAACTCCGGAGCGTGGGTAAAGAGTGTTTTAATTTCCTCAGTTATCCTTGGATATTCAAGTTTCTGAATTTGGGCGGTAGTATTTGATTTAGAGGTTGTTTGACCTTGTTTTGCAACTTGGTCATATTGATAGAATGACTTAGAGGAACGCACCTTGTCCGGAGTTCATTGTATGCATCATCATTTCCAAAGTCGAACCGTGGACGTGGTACATTCCCAGACGCTTCGCCGGCATCGTCAGTGAGTATCGCCATTCTTAGCACCACACTACAACTCGCCAAATAGACAAGTAAAGCCCACCCTTTGACCAGACATGTGCAGGGGAAGTCATAGAGTTGGTATTAGGAATAGAAACAGGATAGACGCGGCAGAGACTGGAGCTATTTGGGGGGTCATTATGGTATCGCTTCCCTGGTCTACAATCTTATGGGGAAGTGTCATTTGGATATAGTTAATGAAATAATTTATCACTCCTCCCTCCAAAAATTAGAGGAAAGTTACAAGACTGAGAGGCGTAAGATATTTAAGTTTATAGATATCAGGTCTTGATTAAGGAAGGATCTTGGCATGGTTCTCACTTTGATTGATTTTCAAAAACTCCAGAGCATGACGGACCAAAAGTCACAGAGAGTTAGGGATCTGATAAATAAGCGGCATGACAAGAAATTGCTTGACTATGGGATAATAAGACAGAGCAAGACCAAGTCAACCGGGCAAATTTTGAAGGCATCAACTGCTACAGTCGACGGTAGGACAAAGGTAGTAAACCCATCTTCAATTCCTTTGGATT